TGCAAATGGAAATACCATGGAAATTGCCCGCTTTGCCCGGTAAAACTGCCGGCACAACTGGCGATACTCGCGAATCAGCCCTGTAGAGCTTATCGATTTTATCTCAAATAAATCTCTCGTCCGAATATAATAATTGAATACAGAATTAAAGACCGCAATCAAAGTCTGACGGGAAACTTTTACTCGGCAACATAATGTGCGCATGCATGCGATGTTTGCGTACTCATTGTGTTGGAGCGAGATATACCGTTGCGCGTGCATATAAGATGTACAATACGCACGCGGGCGGCGCGTACATATGTAAAAATCCGGGCCAAAGGAGAAGAAACGCAAGGGAAAGAGAGAGATCGCGCTGCACAATAGCGCCGCCGCGGCGCGATCGCGCGCTCGGCGAGTTAGCGCTGCCACCGCGGCGCGAGCATTGCGATAGCGCATACGGGCAGGCGGTTATTACTCTGTCGATCGCTGCCAAAGTGCAGTGCATGAATAATAGGACAATGGATACCCGCGTCAACGCTCCGCGCGAACAAGTTATCGACGGAGGCTCTCGCTGCTCGGCTGGTGGTCGCTTTCTAAAGCTGCCTGCAAACTGGCCCTCCAACGCGCCCGACGCCGCGCTACCGCTGCCGCGATCCCCTGCCTTAATTATCACCGGCGACGAGTCGATTTTCGTAGGCGTAGGCGCGTCGCGCACTCGCGGTCAGTGACGAGAAGCGCTCGTGCTCGCTTCGCCCGGGGCTGCTCGTCGACGATTATCATAAATTAGCGATGCGCGCGCGCACGCGCGCGGCGTCCCCTCGACAATTCGACCGAGCGCGCTTAGGGAGGAGGCGCGTGAGAAAGAATCGGTGCGTGTCCGAGGCGCGACAGATCCAAGTGCAGCGATACGCCGACGAATGAGGCATGTTTATAGTCGCGCGCGCGGATTGGAGAGAGTCGCGCGCGCATAAATGCATGAACGCGCGTTATTTAACCGGATTTTTCAGTGGGACCCACATTTGCATTATTAATGCACCCGCCGCGGCGCGCTCGCGCGTTTAGCATAGAAAGAATTACGCCGTTTGCATCATTTATCGTTCAACGTCCTCTCCGGCTGTCTCGCCGGGGCGCGCGCGCCTCTTTCTCCCGATATTTTTTCGATAAAGTTCAAGGCTCGCGACGACGCGCGATACAAATGAGCGCGCCCGAGCAATGCTGAAAAATGAGCGCGACCGGCAGTGATTATCGGCTCGCTCGCTCGCTCGCGTCGACGCGTAAAAATCGGCCGATATTTTTTGGCTATCAAGCGCCACGCAACCCGAACCCAACCCACTCACGGGGGCCAGTTCGCGTTTTCCACGTTCGAGAACAGGCGGAATTTTCGGCGCGCTCTTCATGGCGAGTCGGCCCCCTCGACGTGGCTTCCAAATTGTGCTCTCCTCGCCCGATACGCCGCGGCTACCGACCAACTTTTACTCGGAAGTTGTCCAACACAAAAGTTTCGGAGAAATCATTACAGCGCAATCGAAGCTTCGATCAAAGTATTTGTTTTAGTCAAGGGATAAGATTTGAAATATCTCGAACATTTGAATACTTGAATATTCAGGAGTGCGATAGTTCTTGGGAATTTGTAGAGAATTTATCATTGAATTTCTTTCCAGATACCGAATCAACACTGACAAAGCAACGCTTACGAAAAAGCACATACGCGCTCGTTATTTCCTCGGGCGCGCAGCGCTGCGAGGTTGAAAAATGAAAGCTCGTCAGCGAGCGGATGGTCGTTTATTAAAATCGTCATGAGAGCTATGAAAAGTGAGGTAAAGCACTTCATTACTCGACGTGGGCTCAATCACTCCGACACCTCGATGATTGATCGTCGATAATCAAGCATTCGCGCGGGACGCCTGGCCTTGCCACAGCCGACAGCCAGCTGAGATATTTACGTTAATAATTGCCGAAAAATTCAATCTGAGCCGGCGATCTGACCCTTTAACCTCGTTCGTGCCTCGAAAGCTCGAGAATGCTGCGGGGAGAAGAGCAGCTCATTGTGAACGAGAGAACGAAAGCGCGCGAAATGAATACCCTTCAGTCCTGGATAAAAAATTGCCGGATTTTCTCGGCAAACCGCGACGTCGTGTGGCAACAAGCGAGATAAATTCGGCGAGGCTCCGCGTCGATTTCTCCGCGGACTGGGCTGGGCTGGGCGCGTACCATTGTTAGGGCTGTCGATGGGCCGGCCGTCAAGAGGCAGCATCGATCATCGGCCGATCAGCTTGCACAAGCGCGCGGTGACAACGAGGATGAATGGCCGACTCGTTCTTGTCTCTCTTGTCTGCTGGCTGCGCACCTCCTCCGTTACAAGCACCGTTGCTCACGCGCGTATTCCGCCGCGCGTGTATGACGGGCGTCGAATCGAATTAATTACCGAGGCGCGGGCGCGTCGGTGCGCGGCGAACGCGCCGATTCCACGCGGAAGTGCCGAATCGCTGTCGCGACATCGCGGGCGATCGGCGAGGGCGCCGTGAGTCCTGGGCAAATGCGACGGCTGCGAGCTGATTTGCTCTCGGCCAGATTGCTTCGCACACGTGACTGCGGCCCGCGTCTCCACTTAGCCGGGAGTCTCCGCGCGCGAGGCGCATAGCGGATCAGCGTCGAACCTGACTGATTCGCCGTCTAATCGGTCAGCGACCTCTTCCACCTTTTGTACATGCGCGTCCCCTAAGACAACTTGCTTCGACAATTTGCTATTCAAATGCAGCTAGCAGCTGGCAGCTTTCCAAATTCAAAATATTTCCGCCGGCTGCCCCTCGACTGAAATCTCTTTATTCTTCTTTGCGTGCGGAGTCTCTGCTGGCGCCCTGGTCGCTTTGCTGCTCTATTGCCGAGCTCCAAGGATTAACATTGCGCGATCAAAATCGTCGACAGTTAGACGATTCCGGTGCGTCCGTGCGGAATCGATTTTTGCCCCAAGTCGCAAAAACCTCGGCAAGAAGGCAGCTGCGTCATTGGCAACCTCGAAAAACTCCACTGCAAGCACATCGCGCGCGCGCGCGGTCATAAAGAAGAGGATCGCGTGAGTCGAATTCGCATGGCCGCGAGCGAACACACGTATACATCAGATAGAACGCGCGTATAGTTCGAGTCACGACACGGGAGAAGAGTCGCCACGGAGTCGCCCTTTGCCGATTTCCCAACTGCTGCAGAAAAACTCTCTCTGCCGGTAACGTAACGACGTTGCCTTTCTTGTGCGCCGCGATTTCCAGCTGAAACACACCAGCGCTTATCTCGCGGCGCTCCGTAGCGTGCGAAAACTTCGTTTTCCGCAGCACGCGCGCCAAACACAACGGCAATATAAGAATTTGTATCTATTCTATAAATGAAATAGCCGAGTCGCGATCGCACCGACAGACAACGATAACTTTTAACTACGTTTACGTTCGTTTAACGAGACCTTATTTTTTCCAAGCCTAAAGCTTATTTTAATAAGATAACTGAGTTCAGACAAGGAAGTACGAGGCCTTTGTAAAAGTGTCATCGAAAGTACAGAATCGTTCCTTGGAGAAAGAATCCACGTAGCGGATTATTGGAAGCTCCCGCGGTCAATATATCTCTGGCGGAAGAGGGCCGCGCGTGTCGTGCTCCAACATTGTTTATCTTGTGACAAAACGCCGCCGTCGCTGCACGATTAGCTCGGATAATTAAGACGGTCGGTGGGCGAGGTCACACAACTATGCAGCTGTAGCCTCGCAGAGTTCCCTTAATCGGGCAAATCTACTCTTAACGAGGGACGTCGTAGCTTGCCCCGAGAAAGAGGGAGAAAGAGAGACGAGGGACCTGATAACGACGTACCCGTAACGATCCCGCGCGAGACTCGCGGAAAAAGGGACGATACCAGAATGTACCTGTGACGTTTTTTCCGAAACGACCACACGACGAAGCTTGTCGCGGTTTATGGACATGTTAACGAGCTTGAGAGTAACGACATTTTCATTAAAGTTTAACACTTTGCGTGGATGCATTTACGCGCAAGATCTCGATGATGCAACGCGATCTTACTCGATGCGCTTTCAAGCCTTTTATATTATTTTACAAAACTCTCTTATCTATTTTAGTCTGAGGATCCCTCAAAATCTTTACCTAATTTGGAATGACTTTGGTGCATACCATGATCTTGTTGGAATATTGATGCCGCAATGAAATTTCGAGGGCACTTTTGTCGCGTGAACATTAATAATTTGACCGGACACGCATGTGATTTTTCAATAGTGGAGCACGTTAGTATGCCGAGGTGATTGAAAAAAACAATGCGGCGATTGGCGGAGGTGATCAAATGATGACCTTAATTTCGGCGAAATGTCATCCTTGTCGCGTAAATAATCTGGTCCTCCTTAAACGTTTACTAGCCTCTAAATAATCATTTCTCTCTCTCTCTCTCTCTCTCTCTCTCTTTCTCCCTCTCTCGCTGACCAAAAAATCGCAAGTAAACCTCAATTACCATAAGCGCTCGTAAAATGGATAACGAGATTGAACGAAAAAAAGGAACGAGCAAGAGAGTATCTTTCTCCTGAAGATAAAATACAACGCTTCGCAGGATACAAATGAAGCCTTGCGTCTCTGCGTCACGCCTCTCAATCTCTTTCTCTTTTGGCAGTGCGCGCCCAAAGACAAAAGCTCGCGATACATGCTAGCGCGTATCAAATTATTGTTTATTAGCACGCAAATTAGCAGCTGCTCTCGCGAGGAGATCGATCGTTCATGCGAGCGCGTGGACATCGCTGTTTTGTCCGCTAAGCGGGTCCAGCCCTTTGCGAGTTGTAATTACTTTATAACGGCCGCGAAAGTCAATTAATTTTATTGGGGCTTATTTGTCAGAGGCGCAGCAACCGGCGACGCCGCTGCCGCCACAGCGCTTTTTTTAATTACGCCGTCTTGCGCCCCAAGCGCCGGAATTAATCAACGCGCCCGGAAGAAGAAAACAGCACGAGGGGAGCGAACAAAAACTTACGAAAAGCATGCGTGATTATAGTGAGTTTAATTGAATAAAGACAGTGTTATTTATATAGAGAAGTTGCATAACTTTTTGCCTATATGCTCTCGTAGTGCACCAGTTGATTGGCAAACTTAGTTATTATTATCGATTCTTACGAATTTCACGTATACTGGTTGCGTCGGTCGTACAACTAAATTTAGCGTTAGCTTCATATCCGTCCTTTTCGTCACAGTTTTCAACTGAAAGTTGTATAAAATACGAGCTAACAAGCACTTTAACTCCATCAGAGCGAATTTCTGACCTGGAAAAGATGAAATCAAAGAAATGAATACCGTTTTCCGCTTAGATATATGGGTGCAGGATGGATCAGGGTGGAACCTATGCAATTACGAGGGCCAGCGCTGAACGGTATGTATGAATATGGGTGGCGTTTGAGGGCGCGCTCAGGAAGAAACCTGTCGGGATCATATTTTTCTGGTTCAGGCCAATAGTCGGGATTTCTGTGAAGATCGATCATGTGCGAGACCACTTCCGTTCCAGCTGGGACCAGGTATCCTCCTGCAAAGAAACACAGTAACAAGTCATTAAAACATTTATTTAATCGTGAATATTAATAAACTGTCCTACTTATTACTAAATCTTCTTTCAGTCGGCGGGACAAAGCTGGCACAGGCGGATACAGCCGGAGTGTTTCTTTGATACACCTTTCTAGGTAATGGAATTCTTGGATTTCTGATATACCTAATTCTCCTTTACTTTTATTGAGAACACCGATCACTTCGTTTCTTACTTTTTCCTAAAAAGAAATTTCGTTGTAGCAAACGCTGTGCGCTGAGTGCTTTTTTCCCCCAAGCGGCATACCTGGATATCTTCGTGTTCAGCTAACAACATTAAACTGTAAACTAAGGCCATACCTGTTGTGTCGTGACCCTGAAATTCAAACATCTTTGGAGAACAGTCATTAAATTAAAATTAATTCGAAAAAATCTGATGTTTACTGCAAACATAAAAGTATCCAGTTCTTCTTTGATCCCTTCGCGATCTATCAAGCCATCTTTTTCCGCGTTCAGTAAAAGATCCAGCATAACTAACTTTTTCCTTTTACTCCCTTTGTTGGCAATAATCAATTACATAAAACATTAAAAGAAATATTAATTTAGTGCCATCATTTGTTGATAGAAATACTTGTATTTGTTCCACAAATACTTTTATCAAAGTACCATTACCTATTGATAAATTATCTGAATTTGCCTCAGAATTACTAAAGTCTCTCAAATCTTTATAATCAGTTCGCTCGTGATATTCTTTGCGATCTAGCAAAACCTGTTATCGATGAAAATGTCAGCAGCAAGTGATAATGATATTTTTACAATAAACTAAATTAAAATTCTTACATATTCAATGCTACATAAGCTCAACTCACTTTATCAGTAAATGCATGTAGAATACTAAGAGTTTGTTTTTGTAACCGACCAAGTTTTATCAGTGGGGTCAACATCCACTCCTGTATGTATGGTCTTACAGCTCTAAAAACAATCAATTAAATTCTACTCATGTATTAACATGTATTAATCGGGAAATAATATTTACCTATACATCAGTATGTCACCTATGGTAAAAACAGCTCTTTTGTATTCTTGAACATTTTCGTCAACTTTGTCAAATGGTACTCCCATTGCGGATTCTGATCGTACAAAATGAAACTTAAATAATGTTTATGTTACGAGTAATATAATATCAAAAAATGTATTACCGCAAATTATGTTCAACGTGTAATTCGTGCAAACTGGCAATAGGTCCTGAACGGTTTCTTTATTTTCATTTCTTAAAGCTTTTATAAATTTTATTGCTTTCTCGTTGGTTATTTCTAAATATTTTTGTAAAATTTTGAAGTGGAACGCAGGGGTGAGAATTCTTCGACGTTGATGCCACTTACTACCTGGAATAAGATTCTGCGTGATTATAAGAAATGTATTACCGAAATGTGGCGTTGTCTTACCAGTACTCGTAAGAAGGCCAGTTTTTAACCATGGTCTGAAAATCTTGTAAGAGGGTCCCTTTTCAATATGTGTATTACTAGACAGTAAAACCTTAAAAATTGTTTTCTATAATTATAAATTCTTCATTTGAAAAGAAAAATGCTTCACAATGTTTACAGAGCGATTTAAAAATAAGCACCTCTAAATCATCTGGATGATGAATAGTGACCGTAGGAAAAGGACCAAACCAAATCCTTGTCAAAGGATAATATTTCTTATTAATTTCCCGGAGAACATTATATACTTCATCTAAAAGAAAGAATTATAAGCTATATGTATTAATCAGTATTCTATGTGAAGAAAAATACAAATTTACTCACCCATCGGAACATTGAAAAGTGCTAGGTTACCGATCAACGGCAATGCCGGGGGTCCCGGTATTTTATTGATCAATTCATAATTTTTCTTCAAGTTGAAATAAATTTGCGATATAACCAACGTCAATAAGATTGACAAAAGAAAAAGTACAATCATTTCGGCAAGCACGAAGACGCGAGAGCAAGTGCATGCGCACCGATGACTAACTTGCATTTAGTATTCGCTCGATTTTATAAGGATTCACCTAGCATCTTATCTTAACATGACAATTGATAAAGTAACACGATTATTGGTGCGCGAGGAAAATGACAGCAGAAACTAATCCAATGATACTTTTATAATGACATGTGATCAAGTGGGAACAATGACACTCTTTAAACAGAGATTTTTAAGCGAATCGTCTGCGCGCAAGGAGAAAAACACATAAAGTCTTGTCATTTTGGTGAAGAGGAAGAAAGGACCACAGGCGCAATGTAATTGCTCGTCAAAGTGTATCGCAGTAAAGTCCAAAAAGCTGAGGTGCTCGCTCGTCGACCCAAATTTTTATGAACGACAAAAGTCACCGTGCGCACACCCATCAAGAACCCGTTAACTCTTTTCCATCAGTGAGATGCAATGAGCACATTCTCTCATTTTCGCAAGCCAGTATATAGCGGGAGCGAGAGAGCGGAAGGCAAGTTGTAGAGCTCTGGAAATTTCTCAATTTCCACTTAACATTTTATGATGTACAAAAATATGAGTCACGCAGTTTCAAACAGTTGTCAGACGAGCCCCGTACAACAACAGCGCGAGCACAACAGCGTGACTGATCGCACGTCATTAGCTGCATAATTTTATAAATTCCCGCGATGAGGACCCTCTATGACATAGGAATTCGAAGGTGTAGTATAACAATCATATGTAGAGTCTCACATACACGTGCACAACGGGAAGTACTTTTTTGTCAGCCGCGATAAACGTCGAACATCAGTCAGGGCGCGCCAGTACAAGAGAGAAAGAGAAAGAGAGAGAGAGAGAGAGAGAGAGAGAGAGAGAGAGAGAGAGAGAGAGAGAGAGAGAGAGAGAGAGAGAGAGAGAGAGAGAAGAGCAACAGGATGATGATGATGATGATGGCTCGCTGGGGCACAGGTGATTCCACGGGCTAGATAGATTGTGAACGACCTCTTTCAAGACAAGGACTTGCATATCATCGAGTCAGGAGGAGGCGTGCGCTCATGTACCCTACAATTTACTCACATATTTTGACACTCTCGTGTTTGTGCATGATCAAGTTTTTCCAGCTCACAATACATTGCAATTAACCCAAATAAAGTGGATTGGCCGACTCGTTCTAACTTTAGTCAAATTTTCGATCAATTAGACACTAATCGATGATTTGTTACGAAATCAATCATTCCGTACAAGATTCCAGAGTTGGCATCTGCTTAAAATGTTCTCTATTGAGAGTAAATCAATCTTGAAAATGTTCGACAGGTTGATGCTTTGAACGTGAACAGCAGCACTTTTCGTGGAATGACAACTGTTTTTTTCAGATTGAGTGCACAAAGCCTCGGGCTGTTAACAATGCAACAAGCCGAGTTGGGTGAAAAATGCCCGAGAGAGCGAGATAGAGATGGCATTATGCACTTGTTCTCTCAGGGTCGAAACTCACGTGTATGCGTGAGCACGTAAGTGTGTGCGTGCGTGTGGGTGTGTGCTCGCACATCGGGGAAAGAAAAAGGCGATACAAGTGACCGGCTGAAAGAGAGACGAGAGTAAATTAATCCTTATTCATCTGACTGGGGATCTCTGTCGGTGGAGAGTGAGCAAGGCGTACGAGATGACGAATAGCTGTCATCTCAAGTCCCATCCTCGCGTTCAGCGGCGCCCCCCGCTGTTTGCCGGCCCATTACGATTCATTGCCAAGTGATAGATGTCGCTCGTTGATGCTTAATTGAGTTCTGCTTGAAAAGCTCTCGTCGATGCGTTTTACTGTCCGTCGCACGCGCGAGCGAGAGATACGAATGAGAATGAAATAAAACAAAGAAAAAAGAAAGAAACAAACAGCTCCGGAATGCTCGGCGTAATAACGCGCGAGGATACACAGTGCGATTCGAGTGAGAGCAAGTACGCGAAGCACCGCGTACACGCAGTTAGACAGACAGAAAGGAGATGAGCGTTCGTTTATTCGTCGAACAGGTATATCTGCGTGTAAGCTAGACGCAATCATGCGCGCGCCCGCGCTCGTTGCATCGTATTAACGGTAATGGCTCGCGCGCGCGCGCTCGTGTGTGTGTGTGCGCGCGTGTGTGCACGCGTAGGCGAGGAGATGAAAGCGGGCGGCCAAGAGGCTTCTTCTTGGCCTCCGATAATTCGCCGGGACCGGCGCTGCTGCGAGCCTACTACTGTGCAAAGATGCGATATTCAATCGGGGTAATGGCGAGCAGGCATACGCAGCAGCGCCAGTCGGAGAGATTACTTATGCAAAGCCGAGAGCAGAAACAACACGAGATCTGCTGGGCTGCGCTGCGTCCTCGCCGATAGATTGGCCGTTGCGCCGAGGCCATTTTCCTGGAATATCGTTCATTTGGGCATTGACGACGGCTCGGTCGAGCAATAACCGTTGAGGCGCGAGCGTCGTAAAAAGCGCGGCGTGAAAAATGAGGAGGAAAGGCAAGGCGACTCATTACAGAGACATCAAGTGGCAGCGAAATCTCTCTCGGAAGCGTATCGCAATTTGCGCGCGTAAGATCCCTCATTGCCGGGGCATGTTTATAGTCAATAACGAGGCAAGTGCAGCCTAGTCGAGAGCCAACGAGAGCCCGGCCAGATTGAATTGCTCGCTCGGCTATCTGAAATATGTACAGGCGCGATGACTAACCTTGGGGCCGTGTACGAGCGACCCTTATCGACCTCTTCCGCGAGCGCAAGCTACGAGCAATAAAGCCTGCCGCGGATTATCGACGAGCGCCGCGCTCGCAGTCGGGATCGCTCATCCGAGTGCGACGAGTGCCCACTATAATGAGGATGATACAATGTCGAGTGACAGAGTCGGGACGGCTTTTAAATTGTTCGCAGCTAACGAGACGCGCCGGAATATGCCTCGTTCAATAAATAAGACTTCAACGAGTGTTGCGCTCATGCGCGCATCCTGGGTGGTAATAGCCGCGCGGCATTATGCTCGATATATGTACGTGGCTGCTTATAAGGCTGCCGGGGCCGCGGTTACCGTAACGCCGCCGCCGCCGCCGCCGCGCCGCTTATCTGCTGCTTCTCGCGCGCGCTCCTCCCGACCCGTTACTTGCTCGCCGCCCCGGCCCTTTGCGCCACACGGCTGCCACTGGCGAGCAGTCGGCGTCGCCTGCTCGGTCTACGGCTGCCGCCTGCTTCTTTTCATCGGCGCGTCGTCGTTTGCTGCTCGCGGACGATATTCCGTCGTCGGAGACGCCTCGCCGAACGAAAGGATCGTCGTCCGAGCAATGACGCGCGCCTGGCAGCGCACGGTACTAACCAGAGCTAATGTTCAGGGCAAGTGCGGCGCAGCCGATCTAGTGTACATTGCGCGCATAACGCGGAGAAATCTAGCCAAGTCTTGATGTCTCCCTCTCTCGTTTACCTTGAAATTGCGGCAATTACGAAGCCGCGATTCTCTCTGACAAGGCGCGGGCGTGGACCTGGAAATTTACTTAGTCGTCGCGCCTCTCTCTCTCTCTCTCCAGTGATCATTGCGACGAGCAACAGCCGGGATGCTTTCTCGGGCGAATGTGCGTGGTCGCTGCGGTTCGGACAATCGGAGAGCAACAGCTCGACGCACGCGCGGACGCGTGGTGTGCTAGAGAAAAGATCGCTTCTGCTAAGTTTCCGCTGTTTATAGTTTGTCCGCGTCGTGGCCTAGATAATACGAGCGCGGCGCAGTCGCCGATAAAGCTCGCGACGGCTCGGCAGGTTCGAGCCGGTGCAGTCGCACTGGACTGTTTGCGCGCGCGCCGCAGGGATTACGTAAATAAGAGCCACTCGGCGCGCGCTGCGTCCGATCAATCATCATCGCCGACGCGTTGACGTCGCCAATTAAGTAATTCGAGCGCTTTATAAGAGATCAGATAGCGCCTTGCGCTCTTCAGCCGGATGTATTCATTGCTCCGGCGGGCGCCCGGCGCGGCAGCACCGGCGCGCTCGCGGCTAATCTCCTTATCTCTCGACGGCAGCGAGCACTCGTGCTCTCCCTCGGTGCGGCCCGCTCGGCCTGCATATTCATACGCGCGCGCGCGCGGCCGCGCGATAGATCGACAGCCTCGACAGGTAATTAAAGGGGACAGACAGCAGCGACGATCTTTGATCGATCCTCGGCCCCCGCAGCCACTCTCTCGGGCGCGATCTGCGATGACCCTACGCAAGCCACGGGACAGTCCTCTGCCAATCTGCTGACAGCATCGAGCAGAGCTGCTGCCGCCTGGCTCCTTGCCACCTCTTGACCGCCTCCACTCGTCCTTTTTCGCAGACCTTCCGTTCGTCTCTTCTTTTTTCTCGCGCTGCCGCCCGATTAGAGCGAGTATTAGCATAGAATGAGGCTGTTCTGCATCCAGCTTGGAGCAAAAGTAACTTTCCTTCATGGGCCGCCGTGGCGAAACAATGAATCGTAAATGTGATTTGCGAGAAATGTTGTCATAAGGTGCCTAATGGAATGATCGATAGAGCGGCGGCTGGCGCGCGACAAACACTTTCCGGGATCGTTCCCGCTCCTCTGGCGATCGAGGGCGAGTCTCTCGGGAGGCGCGAGGCCGCTGGATCCGCTATCCGTCAGAGCCCGTGCGACCCAGTCGTCGTCGTCGCCGTGAACTTGGGCTTTTCACGAATGGACGATAAGCCAATCAGCGCTCGCTCGGGAACGTGTCGCGCCCGCAATCGGGGATGTCGATCGCGGCCGAGACAGCGTGTCGCCGCCGCGCGCCCCGCGCGTAATTAATTAGAAATCATGCCCGGCCGCGATCTCTCGCCGCGGCTGCACCTTACCTAACCGCTCGAATAACCGGCGGCTTTCGCCTATGGCTGGAAAGCACTGTGAGAACCGGCATGCGGGCTTTTGTCCGCGGAGATCGTTTCATTGTCGTCCCGCGGGGGCCTCCTTCGCTGGCTGCCAGTCCAATTAGGTCCCGGAGAAAATGGCCCGGCGGGCGGGTCGGCGGGCGACTTGCGTGCGGCGCC